CAGATCTACCATTTAATGTACTGATATATTATGTAATAGAAGACACCCATTGACACATATTTAAGTGGCCCATGAAAATGCCCAGCAAACCATCAAGAAGACTGAGATACTGGAGATTACCAAAGATGAAGAGGGAAAACCCCAACTAGAGAATTCCACTTCAGGCTAGGAGTCTGTCAGTTAAGGGGAACAAGATCCCAAAGTCTTATTCGTCTGCAGAACAGTGTGGCACAAGCGTGCTTGTCAGTTTAACTATCAGGTTATTCCTAAAACTGTACTTGACAGACTCATGTTAAAAAGGGAAATCAGTTTTGCCCATTAATAGCTATAGGTATATATGTTGTCAAATGTAGAGAAAGATGCCAATCCTGGTTTGATGCCTTCCTGGTAACAAATTATCCTGCAAATGTTTAATAATGTAATATCTGACACTTTCACCTGCCCTGGCAGCTGTTGTTGCCTCTGTTGAAGATGGCAACTTGGGCTGGGTTGGTCATAGGAGAGAGTAAAACTGGTGATTGTTGTGTTTCTGTGAGAACATCAGCCCTGGGGGCCTATTCTCTCCTGTGGATGGTATGTGTTTTGAAAGGTGCAGAGGTTGGAGTAGAAAAGGAAGGGTTCCTTTTTAGGCCTCCATGGAAGAAGCCCTGAGGCCTTCATGTTAAATGGTCATACCAAATAGGCAGGCAGCCAATAGATGATAGATTAATTGCACCCAGAGGAGGAAAGTCAGAAACCCTCACTGACATTGTCCCCTGAGCCCAGACCAAGCTGGTGGTTGCAAAGAAGTTGCATTTCAACATAAAGTTGGGGGTGGGGAGGAGAGTCATCCTTGCAGCTGGTGTTGCATACAGAGACAGAGTGGATGGGATGTTTTACAAAGGGCTTCTTCTTGTCCGCTTCCTGCCTTGAATATGTCAGCATCTTCTTGTTTCAGAAGAAGGACTGGAAAAAATAATTTGTTAATGGGGAGAAAGGCCACTTTCAATCCACTTCCCAACTGGTTTGGGAAAGGCTGCGATGACACACACTAAATAATCCACTTTCAATCCACTTCCCAACTGGTTTTTACTGGCAAAATCCAGTTGGAAAGTGCATTGAAAGTAGCATGAAAGTGGATTATTTACTGTGTGTGATTGCAGCCTCAAGGTTGTTAAAACCCTATTGTTATCCTTGTAATTTTGGGGGGCAATTCAGAGTATGAACTTGGTGCAGAACAGGATGACCAGAGAGGGCGCAGCATAGTATCAAAACCTGTATGCCTACTGCTTCACTTTGCATAATGGATCTTTCATAGTGGATCCCAGAATGTGTTATGCAATACCTTGGTCGAAGACAAAGGCCACCTGTAGGACATGCCAATTTTCCAGGCTTCAGGTACAGGGGGTTCCTCTGAATGTTCTCCATCCCAAGAGTAGTAGAACAGTTATTACAGAGGGCAATTAAGAGAGGCAGTCCATTTTGTAACTCACACTTCCCAGGGAAGCAAGGTAAGGCAGAAGATTTGGAAGGAGACAACTTGTTTGGCTTGAAATGTAAAGACAGTGAATGTTGGCACAGGTCTTGTGAGGCCACCCACCCAAACCTTCAAGTCACTTTTGAAAAAAAACTGTCTATTTGCCTTGAAATCTTTTCTGTCTTCCAGTTGAGTACTTCAGAATTCATAAAATGCAATGTTCCAGTCTTGCAACAGTGCTACTGTTAAGTCCCAAATGCATGTCTCCAAAAACCACAGTGTACATATGGCCGCATCTCTAAACACTTTGGCAGGCACAAACACACAGCCAGTGCAGTGTGTACATATACATTAAGTGTGTATGTGTATGTGTGTAAAGTGCTGTCAAGTTACAACAGACTTATGGAGACCCCAGCAAGGGGCTTTCAAGGCAAGTGAGAAGCAGAGGTGGTTTGCTATTGCCTTCCTCGGCACAACTTTGTCTAGCTGCAGCCCCAAAAGAAGACAGGATGTCTGAACTATTCAGGCTCCCTCCTCTGCTTTCCGGGTTTGGACCTTGGCTGAATTTTGGGACCATGTTCCCCTGCTGTGAACCATGTTCCCCTGCACTTGTCCCTGAATGAGACGGAGATCATTGTCCTAACAGGGAATGTTACCTGTGTTTAGTTCCCTAATCTTTGTTATTTAAAATGGGTATATTGAGAGAAGAGAGAGATATCAACTTGCACTGTTACACTTTCTGTAAAGAGAGGCTGTCTTGCCAGGTTATTTTTAAAACTTAGATTATTTAGATTAAACTTTGATCATGGGGTTTGGGGTGGTGCAATTCTCTGTCCCTTGGGATTAGCATGGTTTGTGGTTCTCAGTGGTGGAAAGCAAGGCAATGACTTTGCAGCTTGCTTAGTGTTGCCTAGCTGTCTTCTGGGTCTGTCTTGGGGCAGTTTGCCCATGAACTTCTCAAGCACACAATGTGGGGTTTCAACCCTGCTTGGATACCACAATGACAAATATCCTATCTCCTCTCCAAACCTGAAAGATATTCTCCCTAATACCTCAGGGATGGGAGTGGGTTACTCTGCACATGCTCAGAAGCTATTCCTTTGAATACTGAGTCATACCAGGCCTACTTTCTGATGGGGCCCAGCTCAAAGTAAACACTTCGCTTTATTAAATAACAATTATTTCAATTTTAGGGAAATAAATTATTTGTTTGGGGGAGGAAAAAAGCACCCAAGTGTATCCAGATGAAGTGTAATTTTACACATTGGTGTGTTTTGGGCCACCAGTGCAGTCCTGAACAGAATTATACCTTTCTAAGTCCACTAACTGCAATGAACATCGAAGGGTATAACTCTGCTTAGGACATGCTTTTGGGAGGGGCTGTGGCTCACTGGTAGAGCATCTGCTTGGAATTCAGAAGATCCCAGATTAAATCCCCGGCATCTCCAGTTAAAAGATCGGGCAGTAGGTGATGGGAAAGACCTCTGCCTGAGCCCCTGGAGAGCCGCTGCCAGTCTGAGCAGACAGTGCTGACTTTGATGGACCCAGGGTCTGTTCAGTACAAGGCAGTTTCATGTGACATCACACAATGAGTTCCCCTATAATGCATGGATTCAAGACTATGGCTGCGATCACACACACTACAGATTATCCGTCCTTGATGGAACACCACTAACACCGGCAATGTGTCAAGAGCTTGGGAGTGATCTTGGATGCCTCCTTGAATGTGGAGGCCCAAGTCACACACATTGCCAAACTGGCGTTCTTTCATCTGTGCCAGGCTCGCCAACTGGCCCCCTTCCTGTTGCATCCTGACTTAGCCATGGTAATCCATGCAACTGTCACCTCCAGGCTAGACTAGTGTAACTCGCTGGCCTACCCTTGAGACTGACCCGGAAGCTCCAACTGATCCAGAATGTGGCGGTGTAAGTCCTGAGGGGAACGTCACGGACAGCACATATACATCCCGTGCTGCACCAGCTACACTGGCTCTCAGTGGAATATCGAGTCAAGTTCAAGGTTTTGGTTTGACCCATAAGGCCTTGAGCAGTCAGGGACCAATGCACCTACAGGACCATCTCCTCTGTTATGTCCCCAGAAGGACATTGTGCTGGTAGTCCCCAGCACATGCTGGTAGTCCCCAGCCCTAAGGATATCCGGCTGTCCTCAACCAGGGCCAGGGCCTTTTCGATCCTGGCCCCAACCTGGTGGGACTGTCTGACAAATATCATCAGGGCCCTGCAGGACCATATGCAATTCCACAGGGCCTACAAGGCAGAGATGTTCTGCCAGGCTTTCGGCTGAGTACAGCAACAGCTTTCATCTTGGCTGGCACCCTCCTCAGGTTTCCATGCTCGTCTCAACTTCTTCCCCCCTGCCCGTGAAGCGGCCAGCAGTCTGTAATATGGGAACGATTAATTAATAAGTACTAGTACTCACCATCTGTCTTTTAAAAATGTATTCTAATATGATTTATTGTTTTTGTCTGGTCATTGTTTTTAATGTTATTGTACATTGCCCAGAGCCCTGCAGTAGCAGGGATAAAGCGATTCATAAATTTAATAAATATATAATGCACTTTCAATCCACTTTCCGTGCACTTTCCAACTGGATTTTGCCAGTTCATACAGTAAAATCCAGTTGGAAAGTGCATTGAAAGTGCATTATTTAGTGTGTGTGATCGCAGCTAATGTGAACAATGTAAGATGGTTCAGATTCTGAATGAGAGGGGCTGGGGCTCTGCTTTGCCTGGGAATCCTGCTTCTGCCATTTCTTGTCTCCATGGATATACAGGGAAAAGGTGTTATCAGTGGCAGGCTGCACATGTTTAAAGGTGCTCTTCCTTTCCTACATGCTGTGAAAGCTCTGGTGTGGGCAAGAAAGAGATGTTTAAGAAGTTCAGCCCCACAAGCTCAAACAAATCACCAGTTGTAGGGTCAAGGTCCATGCTTCTCTGGTGGTGCCAGCCTCATCTCTCCTACTTTTGGTACCTAGAAAGCAGTCAATCCAAACCCCCCCCCCTACACACACACTTCCCCAAAGACACAGGATTCACTTTTTTTCTCCCCCAGATCCTTTGCACAGTTCACTTTTCTGCGTGTCTCTTTTCCGCGGGCCCCCCCCCCCCCCCGCCAAGTTTGCAGCTGTCCTGATGCAGAGCCACGTCCGTTTGTAATAATAAATAAAAGAGCTGGTTTGGTGGGAGGGGGCAGCGGGCAGCATTTGAAAATCTGTGGAGCAGAATTCCTGTGTTGAAGGCAAGGCAAGGCAAGGCAAGCCTCTCCTCCCTCCCTCTGCCCTCATTGATTTGAGGCGGAGAGGAGGGAGGCGGGGGAGGCGCTGCCTGGGTGGTCTCTTCTCTCTCCACTTTGGTGAGCTGTTGCTTAGCAGCTAATAATAGGAGATGTTTGCGGAGTAATTTGCCTCTTCCTCGGCCAATGGGAACCGGGGCACTTTCCCATCAAACCAAACCTTCCTCCCCCCGCTCCTCTTTTCAGGATCTCGAAGGAGCTTGTTTGTTCCAAATGTTGGTGGGACGGGATCCGAGGCGCACTGCACCGCCGGGCACCCGGGCGCCTCTCGTCTCAGGGGCTGCTGTGTGAGTGCTCGATCCCCGTCTCCTGCCGCGCGTCGAAGGGGCCACGCTGGGAGGCGCCAAGGGCGCATGGGGCGCGCTTGGATGGCCCTGGATTCGCCCCCATAATGTTCACATGGGGTCCCCGCAGCAGCCAGCCTGAACCTTCGGACCCTGCGCCGCTCCTCTCTGGATTACCGCGCCTGGGAAGCCGCCTGCACCCTTTTACCTCCCCCCAGCACCGTCCTCGTTCGACCTCGGAGCATGGCTTCGGATCGGCCGGTCCCTGGGGCCGGGGGCATCTTGGGAGAACTCCCGCCGTCTTACGCGGCTGCTGCCAACTCGGATCTGCTCCGGAGACCCAGCTACTGCCACGCTGCCTTTGCCCTCAAGCAGATCTCCAAGGTGAGAGAAGGGGGAGAAGGCGCTTTCCCACGGGTGGGGAGAGGGAAAAGTGTTGGGGGGGGGTCCCATCCCCGGGAAGAGATGCGCAGGGCGGCCGCCACAAAGGAGCAGAAGGCAGGGGCCGCTCCTCTAGGGCCGGAGGCGGAGGGCTGGAGGTCGGGATCCTCCTGGAAGCCCCACGGCTTCTTGGGGTGGGGGAGTGCAGGGAGGGGCAGGATCTCGCCTGCGTGCTCCAAACGGAGCCCGCTCCGTGGTCCCAGGAGTTTGTTTATTGAAAGGGGAGACGCGATGGAGCCGTCCAGGAAGGACCGCCTGTAAATGGGGCGCTTGGGAGAGGCCGGCAGGGGCTCGGAGCTCACAGAGGATGGGTGGGTTTAGCCGGACGGCCAAGGTTCCAGGGGCTCGGGCGTGGGGACTGTAGGTGTTTGTGTCGCTGTTTGGAGAGAGACGAGAAAAAGAAGACGAGTGCAGTCAGTGACTGGGAAGCAGGAATAAAGGGAGAGCGAATGAAGAGAACCCGGCAGAGAAAATGAGAGACCCTCTGAATCCGCAGAAGTACACACCTGAGGAAAGGAGCATAGAGCGTACACACACCCCATACACCTAGCTGGGAACTTGACACTGGGCCTTCTTCACACCTTTGTTTGTGGCTGTGGGAACTCTGCAGACGTCTTTCACACAGGGAACTTCAGAGGCTGGGCGTTCCCTGGAGATGAGAAGCTGAACAACTGGGGAGCAAAGAGCAAGATCTCTGCTTTGAACCCATACTAGCTTTTTTGCCTGGGACATTTTTTGGTGCATGAGTTTTCACACTTGAGCATGAAGTGGCTCGTGCTTTGAATATCCAGTGCAGGAGCAGAGATTCACACATCTCTTGAGATGTCACTTGCTCACTAGTTCTTCTCCACAAATGAGAAAGGAAGAGGCAGCACTGCAGAAGGTCTCTGCCCCTCCCACCAGTTTCTGACATAGGGGAGCAATCTGGGTCCAGACACAGCCAGGCTCCTGAATCTCTGAGGAGGGTCTTACTTTCCTCCAGACTTGAGGTCTGTGTGCATCCCAGTGCCAGCTGCCCTGGGGCAGGATGTTGCTATTCCCTGTAGCAACAGTGCCTTGGCTAACTCTCTGTTTCTCTCCTCAGGGTAAGGCTGTGGGCCAGAAAGCCCCACTGTGGCTAAGGGCCCAGTTCCAAGCCCTGCTGTTTACACTGGGCTGCTGGATCCAGCGTCACTGTGGCAAAGTACTCTTTGTGGGGCTGTTGGTCTTTGGAGCGCTGGCTGTAGGACTCCGAGTGGCCTCCATCGAGACAGATATTGAGCAGCTGTGGGTGGAAGGTAAGCCTCTTCTTGGGCCCTGTGGCTGCTGGGCAAACTGCATAATACCCGAGGTGTGTTGGGGGTGGTGGAGGAGTTGTACAGCATTGAGGAAGGCAAATGAATTTGAGTCTCAACCTGGATGGGCCTTTTAAATGGAGACGTTGGCAAAGGGCCCAATCACTAAAGTCCACACGTGTGTGAATCCAGATTTGAACATAGTTTTTGCAGTCTTGGTTTTGAAACCTTGTCTTCTTTTGGAGGAGGGCACAGGTATCAAGCAACAGATCTACTGTCACTACATTACATATTTTAAAAGATTCTTCTAGTGTGGGGAACTCCCGAGGCTTGCAATAAAATCATGCGCCTCCCCGTTTTAAATTTCCCTATAATTAAGGCAGAGTTTCTAGCACAGAAGAACAGATTGAAAATGCGACTGTCAAATGTGCTGCAAGGTCTCCAAAACCACCTGGCAAAGATATAATGAAAACAGGAGGCTTCCTTTTTATTTTTATTTTAAATAAGAGTCATACAGAGCTGGAAGAGAACACATGTTTGTCCTTGTGTAAGGTTCTTCAAGTTGATAGGGCTTCCCTCAGAAAAAGTGTTTAAGTGGTCTCAGGATTCCAGAATCCCAAATCATAATTCTTGGGAAGCTCTGACCCTATGTGATGTGCAAAGGATCGTCACACAGAGCACATTTGTAAATGTAATATGGAACTCTCTTTATGTCTGTGTTCTCGTATAGACTTGAGGGATGTCAAGGAATAGAAATCTGGGGGTTTATTATTTTGCACTTAATTGCTGAGGATTATGCTTTTGGGTCAGTTTTGTTATCGGAAACTTCCATAATGTCACAGCCATGAAAACAAAAAATGAGTAAAGGTTCTGGCTTCCATAGATTTTGAAATGTTTTTATTTGTTGCACTACCACTGTACTGTTCCTCTGAGGAGATGTGATTGGCTTATCTGCAGTTTCTAGATGGTCTCCCATCTAGGTACCTTATAGGGCCAGATATGCATAGCTTCCATAATACATCTTGTACCCTCAGACCTTTTTCCAGTGAGAAAGTAATCGTGGTGATCCTCTAGATGGATTTCCAGTCTAGGTCAAGCAAGAGACACCCCCCTCTTTTTTGACCTTCAGACGTTTTAGTAATGCTTAACACAGTTTTGGGAAACTTTTATTGGGAAAATGCCTGATCACAGTCCAAGGGTTAACACCTCACCCTGCTTGGTTTCTACTCGGCATTTGTCCCCAAGAGGATAAGGGCATGTGTATCTAAAGCCTTCCTATGCTGCTCTGCATGTGTGTGCCTGGGTAGGCCATGTGAATATATGCAATCCAGATCTTTATCGGTGCAAATACATGCCTTCACGTAGACAAATGTAATTAAATTCTTTTCCCCATCTTGGAGGAGATGGTTTTTCTTGCCACCGGGCCCTGCTTGGTGCATTACATTACTGATATTAAAATCTTAAATTACCTTTCTGAGGGTGGTGCTGAAGGAGAGGATAATTACTGTCTATGACAGAACTGTCAGTTGAAGTTTGGCTTGGGTCACACGCGCCTGCCAGCTGAGAATGGAACTGGGTTGAATACAAACAGCCGAAAGCAAAATGGGGTCACCCAGGAGAAAATCCTAATTTCCTACTGGAAACATTTGATAAAAGTGATGCCTTTGTTATTAATAAGTTCAGCGTGCTCCTTTCCCCCTCCTGGTGCTACTTTCGGTCCAGAGTCCAGAGTTTGCTCCTTGCTTTCCATCTCCTGTTATTGCAGCCTCCTCTTTTTTTCCCCAGCACCAGGTTGCTGTGCTGAGTTTTCACACCCTGGGATTTTTATTTTATTTTATTTTTTTTGCAAGCAGCCTGGGAGCTTTCCAAGAGCAGATGTTTCTCTGTGATGACTGTCAGAGATCTTTGGCGTTCCACACCTCCTCCCCCTGCACAGCCCCAGCTCCATGTGTGGTCCTAAACTACTCTTGGATTTTGTTCAACAATAGAAGCAACTTTAGTCTTCCATCCTCCCACTCCCTTTTAAATAAAACCCACACTCACATGAATGCCAGTAAAGTTTACCCACCTGTTTCACACACTGAAGGGGGACTGGAAAGGGGGAAAAACCGCTTCAACCTTAGCCTTCACCCCCCCCTCCCCTTCTCCTTGCTTCTTGCCTTACAGAGGCTTGTAGCAAAAAAGAAGATCCATCAAAACCTGCAGCTGTTTAACATTTAAAGAAGGGAAATCCCCCTTTTGTAACCAACCCATCTTAACCCAAATTAAGAACATCCCCTGAGAACCTGCTCGGTTGGGCTTGTACTTATTTATTGCTTTTGATGCTGACATTTGCTGAGCCTTAAAAAAAAAGAAGAAAGGAGGGAAGAGAAAGAGACTGTTCCCTGCTGACTATTCCGTGCTGGTTTGTGAGATAAGGCTGAAGGAAGTGTGTTATACAAAAAGAGGATACCTGTTCTTCGCTCGTCTTGTTTTGCTTTATTTCAAAATATGATGATTTTGAGAAGAAATATTACATTGTTATAGACTTTTTGTATAGTGCAGCAAACAGGGTGAATAGTTATGTATTAGTTTGTCTTTTGTGATGCACTTTTCCAGTAGTTTGGTGTATAGTGGGGAACCTAGATGGGAAAAGGTCATCATAAGTCAGCTGTGACTTGACAGCAACAACAACAACAAGAAAAATGTCAAAATAGGGTGGGTGGGGAATCACGGTTGTAGATCTACCTGTGTGGACATAGCTGCTTCCCTTCATTTTCTGTCAACTATAATGCTTGGTTGCTGTGATGCATGTTTCTTTCGTTGGAAAACCCTCAGTGCTCTGAGGGTGCTACTGAAAAATTGGCCTTTTTTAAAATCCTCACAGGTCATCTAACTTCAGAAATTGCCTCCTGTTGAGATTTTAGCTTTTAGATCCAAAATTCTTCAGATCAGATTTTTTTGCCTCTGTGTTTCCTCTGTCACTGATTATGTACAAGTAACAAACCAGTTGAATATAGCTGCAAATTATCCATAGGTTGAGCCATATTATGTGTTGAATGATGGCTGTCGCTCCATAACTTTGTTCATGCCATGCCATGCTCTTTGCTACTTGATTTAAACATGGACTTGCATGCATAGCACTGGAGTGAGATTCCTTTTAGCATTTAATAACTAATAATTCTTTCCTTCCGAGGGTGCCTCCCACAGATTTAGATGAGGGAAATTCAGAGAAACTATACAGATAGAAGGAACAGTTGCCAGTCGCTTGCCCCCAATTCTTGTCCGCACAGTTTGGAGCTTCACATTCCCCTACCATTCTTTTCTGTGAACTAACATCTATGGCAGTTTCTCACACTCCTAGATCAACACTGAGTTATGCACCCATCTGCGTGGGAAAAATCCCTTTAAAAGGTTGATATTTTCTGTGTCCAAGATATCCACACAGATTAAGGAGCTAGCTGTACAGCCTGCCATGGGGATCAGCAGGGGATAATGCACAGTGCAGCACCCCTTCCTTATGTACAGTGGAGTGAACAGCCCATCGGATTCCCTTATTGCAAGGGGAATTCTGGTTTGAGCACCCAAATAATCACAATGCACAGTGTTCCGTCTCTTAAAACTCCTTCCACTAATTTTGCATGTCTGCAGTGTTGTTTCAAATCACAGGTCAGAGCTATACTCTTTCCATGGCTTCAGATTTGTTGACTTCTTTTACTATGATCTCCCTCTGAGGCACTGTTTACTCCTCCAGGCTACACTTTCCTACTTCAGAACTGAACACTTTGGAAGGCCTACACTTGATCGAGAGTTAAAGCAGAGAAATGCATGTTAAGTGAAGGAGTAGGCTGCTGTGGCCATTTTTTTAAAAGCAGGTGAACAAGCCTTCTTCCCTGAGCTGTTCTAGAAGAACAAGCTATTTCTTTGTAGTGAAAAAGTTGTGGACCACTTATGCGCCATTTGTGTCAAAGAGAGGAACTTGTGTGATGTCACTGGTAGACTTTTTCTATGGCTCCGAATTCTACAAAAGATGCACTCAGGCTTCACACTGTAGTTAGTTCAAGTGGGGAGAAGAAGCACAAGAAAGAACTGCTGTGTGAGTACTGATGTTCTGGCAGTGTGTCATCCCAGGTTCATCAGAACAGTTGGCTTTGATGGTATCTTGAACTGGAAATAGATTTCAACTGTGACAGAGAAACAGTTGAGCTCCTCAGTAACACGTTGGGCATACATTCTTCTTTCTCAGTTTAAAAAAATACCCCCTTTGAGAGACTGGCCATGTTTCATCTGCACCAAGAAACTCCAGAATACTCACCATCCAGGGAACTGTGCTCGGCTGCAAAAGATTTGTTCCACAGATATCAGCCAGGCATTATTTGGATTGACATCTTATTACTGCAAGTGAGAATGCTGACGTTTGCAAATACTTTTGAGTAAAATGTGTGAGCTTATCCTATATCCCACCACTGTCCTGTGGAGTAGTATTTTAAATTATGTTGTATGGATTAATGGGTGAGTCTCCAGAGGCTGTTCCAAAGTTGTTCAGTCTACTTGGCCTAATACCACAATCGTTCATTATATTTCCTAGTAAAGAGGGAAGTCCTTCATTCTTTAACCTGTAGGTATTCCTGCAAGTCAGTGGTTCTTTCTCTTTTTACTGGAACATGGATAATTTTAATGTTTTTCTCCAAGGCAGTATGTCCTCCTTTTAAACTTGCAAAGAGCAGATTGATGATGGTCAATCTGTATTTGGGCTGCACTACTTCTTATTGCAGCTTCTCCATTTTAAAAAGAAACCATCCAGATATCAGGGGAAGGAGTTGTAGGAAAGTCCTTTTCCCTCACATTCAAATTCTCATGTGTGCAAGCTTTTTGTTTTTATATGGAGGAACAGTCAGTCATGTGAGTCCAGGCCTGCAGTCTGAAATGGTACAGCCAGAAATAGGTTTGCTGCCTCAGCTGCTGTTTATGAGAATGAGGCCTAAAGCAGGGGTCCCCAGCCTTTTTGAGCCTGGGGGCACTTT